TGGTCTCTTGATACTTATCCACCACCGCTTCATAAACATTTGCTGACGTCATTTTAACGAAGATCCGTGTCGTCCCATTAAGTGCTACACCACATATCTCTTCATTTGCGATACCGTAGGTATCACGGATAATCGCCGGTAGTAACAAGTCCATCGTGGCTCCAGTGACAGCCCCACGGGTCAACTCAACGCAAACAGTGTTGATGCGTCTGTAGCTCTGCAGCGCCATGTTGGTAAATGAGCAGCGCACGTCCTCACTTCTCAATGGTTGTGACGAACTGAGGTAGCTCGCCTGAACAGCAGAGGGGTGCAGCGCACAACCTCACTCGACCGTGGTCAGGCAGCGAATGCTATATTGTAATTATTTAAATCAGTGATTGTGCTTAATCAATACTATTTTTTGCCTTAAAGTTAGAAATTTTGCCATAAATTAGGATCAACATATCTCCTAACCATTTGTTTTTTGCAACAACATAAATATAACATTAGAAGTGAACAAGAGTCTAATGCTATTTTTATTCATGTGAGAAATTTTAGCCACAAAATATATTTTCAAAGAGCCGAGAAAGTTGCAACTAGCAGGCGTATGGTTGAGAGAAACTAGCAGGCGTATGGTTGAGAGAAGCTAGCAGGCGTATGGTTGAGAGAAGCTAGCAGGCGTATGGTTGAGAGAAACTAGCAGGCGTATGGTTGAGAGAAACTAGCAGGCGTATGGTTGAAAGAAACTAGCAGGCGTATGGTTGAGAGAAGCTAGCAGGCGTATGGTTGAGAGAAACTAGCAGGCGTATGGTTGAGAGAAACTAGCAGGCGTATGGTTGAGAGAAGCTAGCAGGCGTATGGTTGAGAGAAGCTAGCAGGCGTATGGTTGAGAGAAGCTAGCAGGCGTATGGTTGAGAGAAACTAGCAGGCGTATGGTTGAGAGAAACTAGCAGGCGTATGGTTGAGAGAAACTAGCAGGCGTATGGTTGAAAGAAACTAGCAGTCGTATGGTTGAAAGAAACTAGCAGGCGTATGGTTGAGAGAAACTAGGTGTATGGTTGAAACTAGCAGACGTATGGTTGAAAGAAACTAGCAGTCGTATGGTTGAAAGAAACTAGCAGGCGTATGGTTGAGAGAAACTAGGTGTATGGTTGAAACTAGCAGACGTATGGTTGAAAGAAACTAGCAGGCGTATGGTTGAAACTAGCAGGCGTATGGTTGAAAAAACTAGCAGGCGTATGGTTGAAACTAGCAGGCGTATGGTTGAAACTAGTAGGCGTATGGTTGAAACTAGTAGGCATATGGTTGAAAGACACTAGCAGGCGTATGGTTGAAAGAAACTAGGTGTATGGTTGAAACTAGCAGGCGTATGGTTGAAAGACACTAGGAAGCGTATGGTTGAAAGAAATATAATTGAATCTAGTTTCCTAAACACTCTTGAATTTAGCAATACTTCAGGGTTATATATTAGATTAATTTATAATTAAAGATTCACTAGCACTATACGATGTTACTCCGGCTGCGTTTGAGTGTGTGCGTGTACTCACCTAATTGTGGCTGCTGCAGTCGATCCATATCTCCTGGCCCTGCCTCTTTACTGGTCACTACTAGGTCCTCTCTCTCTCTCTCTCTCTCTGCTCCATGAGCTTTATCATACCTCTTCTTAAAGCCATATATGGATCCTGCTTCCTTTTCATCACTCACCAGGCTATCCTTCTTCCTAACATCCCTGTGACTCATCTGATTCTTCAACTTCTAGTTGTGATCCCTTGTTGCTGTGTCCCATCGCAGGAAAATCCTATCTGTCCACCTTGTCAATTCCTCTCAGTATTTTATATGTCGTTATCATATCCCCCCATCCTCTCTCTCTCTCTCCTGTCCTCCAGTGTCGTCAGGTTGATTTCTCTTAACCTCTCTTCTCGTTGCAAACCTTTGCACTTTCTCTAGTTTCTTGACGTGTTTGGCCAGGTGTGGGTTACCAAAAAGAATTTTATCTAAGTTTAAGTTCATTTCTTCTTTTTTTAATTTCATTTCGACTTCAGTGACTAAGACATTTAGGTGACCATCTTGTAACCTGTGTTTCTTTGTATAACTCAGGTGAAGTTTGGTCAGCTATAGAAAACGCTGTGATTTCGGAGCATAAAAATGACTGGTTTACTCAGTTAGGTATTCAAGTCTTGACAGTGAATGGAAGACAGAAGCTACATCCACTTATTCACTTTATGGTTGAAACGTTTCGTCTACGTGGTAGACTTCTTCCGTTAAATACAGAGGAGAATGGAATGTAAGAAGCAGTAGTGGCGAGGTTCGGATGGTATAAGATTAGGTATTAGACTTTGTCACTGAAGTGCCTAATTTATTGTGCACATCATATCTATCCTGTGGACAGTAGTGCAAGAGCACATGGGTGCACAAAAGGCCTAGAAACTAGGCCTCGAAATGGTTAAAAGGTGTATATTTGGATTTATATCTACATATCTACAGTTCACTTGTCTGTTACAAGCAAATTTAAGAAATTTGCTTAGTACATCTGATATCTTATTTTCATATGACATAGGTTATTATACTGTCTATCTCTGTATTCCTCAATAAGTAGATGGTATAAACGGTCCATAAACCTTGTATTTTGCTCATCAACGTGTTGATGTTATACACTGTTTTGAACAGTATGGCAGTGTGCTGCTATGTGATATTTGAATCAGTCAACCATCCTGAGTACATGACTGAGGAAAAAGTTCATTAAATAAGAGTGGAAGACTGAATGACTGGTGGAGGAAGCATGACTGGTAGTTTGACTTCAGAAAGGAGTACGTAACCAGTTACCTTTAACCCCCCCCCCTCCACTTCCCTTCCCTCATTCACCAAGCGAGTTAACAAGAGACCCTTGCCGGCGGAGTAGAGTCACTTGGCTTCCTGCTTTCATCAAGTTCGTAAGTATGGAGCCCTAGTCTTGATTGGTTATTTTAAGTTTAGTTTTTTTCTTAATTTATTAAGGGATAAGAGCTGTACTCTTGTTAGGATTTTTAACTTTTGTCCGGACTTGGATACAATTACGTTCATAAAGGTAATATTTAGTCATCACCATTTCTGTTAAAGGCCTTAAGCCTATCATGTGAATGACTCCTTGTCCAGTTCGTAATTTCCATATTCTTCTCAGCCTTGCTGGTGTCCCGTAGCTCGATCGCTAGCGCACTCACCTCACACACTGAGGTCCGGGGTTCGAATCTCCTCCGGTACGGCTGGAAAACATTAGGGACGTGTTTCCATATGACACCTGCTGTCCCTGTTCCTCTTCACCCATCAGTTTAAAATGGGTACATGGGTGTAAGTAGACTGGTGTGAGTCGCATCCTGGGACAAAATTGACCTAATTTGTGGCAAATGCTCAGCATAACAAGCAACTTTCTATATAGTAGTATGTCAGTGATGCCAGCTATGGTCTGTACATCTTGTACATATACTTGTAGGAAAAAAATATTATTATTATGGTTCGGGTCACCCAACAGATGGGAGATGAGACGAGCATCATGAACTAATAATAGATCAGAAACTGAAGAATTTATCGTCTTGGGAACTCTGCTGTTCCTTCACCTTAGCTCTACATCCACACTCCTGCATCACTACGAGAACTCCGCTGTTGCACTACTTCCGTGCAGGTTGAAAAGCCTCACCTTGAGAACCGTTTTTCTCTACCACCAGGACAGAGCTATTATCTCGACAACATTCTACGACTGAGCAACTTGTCTTGTTCTTTATACCTGTGTTGTCGATTTCTAATTGACTACCACTGTGGACAGCTAACTTCTGAAGCTGCTACCTGCGCACCTTAACCCTTAAACTGTCCAAGCAGATCTACGTTCATATGCGTAATACTCCAAAAGTAGATCTACTCTTTTTACATACTTTTAAATGTTGAAAAAGCATTGTAAGCATGTTAAAAGGCATTGTAAGCATCTGATGCTGGACTTCACAATAGTGGCGACTCCCTGTGAACTTACTTTCTCTCCAGCATCCCGTTCCACTCCGGGTATTCCTGAGCGCCTTGCCATACCAGCAGGCAGACTCAAAAGGCTTGTTCATTTGATTTTAACTATTCATTTATTTTTTTCCATTATTTGCTTCAGTTAGGACTAGTTCACGTTTAATTGCTTATATCTAGTAAGAATTAGTTAATCTTATTTTGTTATAATTATTTTTTCTGTTTTCTTCAGGAGGAAGAATGTTCTTTAAGTCTTTGAGGGTTCGAAGGCCCCTTACACCTTCACAATGACCATAGACTACCACCATATCCTTAACCATCCAAATAGGGAATGTATAGAAACCATACTACGGGTGGGGTTAGAACCCGCGATCAGAAAGTTATAAAACTCCAGACCGTCGAGTTAGCCACGGGGCCACCTTGCTAACCTTCCTATGGTGTACAAATATAACTAGTTAGATTAATCTTATTGTAGTCAGCTGGTCCAGTGGTAAACACGTCGGTCTGGAGTTTTATGGCTCTCTGATCGCGGGTTCTAACCCCACCCGTGGTATGGTTTGTTAGCAATAGTGTCACGATTTCGTGAGTCAGGGACTGCATAGCCAATGCTTTCGCCTGGAAAAAGTCTGTACCAACTATGTCAGTCTTTCCCTTTTATTTCATTTGCGTATTAAATATCTTTCAATATTTAATTTTCCTTCACTTTAATTATATTCTCTTTCTGTTTTTGGGTTTTCCCATGATAGAAATTTTCAAAACATGGAACCGCTTCTTTCACACAGATAACCATCCATTATACCTACTAACTCCAGTTCTAGTAAACCGATTGTAGAAACACAATTCCTCAGATTCCTTGGATGAAGGAATCTGAGCTACCCTCCCATTCTGCGGTTCACAGCACACTCCCTTCAATTTCCCATATGTTCTAAGACCTTACAGATTTAACATTTTCTAATTAATACCAGAATATTGACGTACGGCAGAGTTGCCACCCAATTAATTAAAAAAAATCACCAAACTAATCTCTAAAATAAATTTATTACCTGCAGGTTGAAGAGTGAAGGCACAAGGATCTTTCTGTTGTCCGACAACATTAGCGGCCCAGCAGAAGACAGTACCGTAGTCCCTGGCGGAGTACGCGACGTAACGCAGCCTCGACACTGAACCAGAAACTGAGTACTAGAAACAAGGCAAAGTTACATTAGTCAAAGGTCTGTTTAAACCAGCCACTTAAACATGCAGTAGCATTTCACGAGTGTACTAAAATAGCATGATGCCATAGTGTGCTGCATCTGTTCTATTCTTTACAAGTGATATCTTACAAATGTTTACAGTTATATTTTAGCTCTACTTTTGTAAGTAAAAGTCATTATTATTATTATTATTTGAGGGCTGGAATAACACTAATGACTGCTACAAGAGTGCTGGAATAACACTCATGACTGCTACTAGAGTGCTGGAATAACACTCAGACTGCTACAAGAGTGCCTGGGGACAATGCAGTGGTAAAATTAGATTTCAAGAATGCATTCAATTCTCTGAAAAGAGACATGGTATTAGCAGCAGTACAAGAACATTTCCCTGGTCTTTTCCCTTTTTGTTTCAGCCGGGTATAGCAAGGAATCAATGCTTCTCTTTGAGAGCATGAAATCACATCTCGGGGGGGTGTCCAAAAAGGAGATCCTCTTGCACCATTTCTCTTCGTATAGCAGTTAGGGAATCACAGTCAGCTGCCCAGGAGGCTAAACATCTGGTTCCTAGATGATGGTACATTTAGCAGTACAAAGGAGTCCCTCCTACATGACCTTACACAGGTAATGACACGGGGACAGGAAATGGATCTCATCCTAAAATCCATCCAAATGCGAAATCATCTCAGTCAATAATCATGGGGATAAATGCAGTGAGATCAAAACTACCAGGAGCAGCAGTCATTTCCCACACAATAGTGTCTTGTTAGGAGCACCTCGGGGAAGCAATGCCATTGACACAATTCCAGGAAGAATTGGAAGATTTTAAGGAGAATGGAACAACGAATAGGCAATCGGGACACCCACGATCCCTTGTACCTTCTCACAAAGTGTTTGAGTCTGCCCAGGTTGACAAAATTCCTAAGATGTGCACCTCATATGATAACCCTATACTGCACGATATGACAGTATTCTGAGGCAGATTTTTACGAAAATCCCTTAACCTTACTCTAGAAGATGGGCAGTGGAACCAAGCAAACACTTCCAGTCAGACTAGGGGGCATTGATGTCCGCAAGTCATCACAGGGTTGCGTTACCTGCTTTTCTGTCCTCGTGTATTGCATCCAGAGAGCTTGTAGCAGGATTCTCCCGAACATCTTAGGGACAAGATTGGAGTCCAGGGACCCAAAAATTCATTGATGGAGGGAATGATCTGGGATAATCTAACGGGCTCTGAAACCAGACCTGCTCCCCCCAGCAACTACAAACAATCGCTCTTGGGGTGGTCTAATAGTGGAAAAATACGCCTCAACAATGCTTTCAGAGTGTGTCAGGGGAAAGGGTGGCCGCTCCTGACAGTGAAGGAAGAGGGCCCCCATGCTGGGGACTTTTCTGTTGGCTGTTTCCCAATCCGCCTTGGCAACCGCCTCGACCCCCAAGCCATCCGCATCGTGTGTTTGCCCTACGACCTTGCCGCCCTATTTCGCCGACACAGGTGTATTTGTGGCAGTGAAGCAAGAGACGATTCGGGGTACCAAGTCTTTTGTGCCGTAAATCCGAGGGAAAGGTTTGGGGACAGAGGAGGTTAATAACATATAAGAGGAGCTCACAACAGCTGGATGCCCAGAGTAAGGGAGTCACCCCAACTATGCAGATCTGATGGCAGCCAGAAGAGTCCAGATGGTATCACCCTTAAGCCTGGACAGGGGCGGGAAGCAGGTGGGTGGGGACTTACATAGTGATCTACCTTGGCTGATACCTATCTCCAATACACCAGGGAGGAAGGAGGGCAGCTGGCCAGCTTCAGGGAGTTTCCCCAAAAAGTCTAGAAAAATTGGAGAACTATGCCATCTTAATGTTTGTTCCCATAGGCTCCAGAGACCCTTGGCTCATGGGAAAAGAATGCATCTAAAAAATTTTTAAGGAGCTTGGGAAAAAGACTCTTAGGGTATTAGGGATCCCAGGGCAGCTAGTTTTCTGTTCCAGCGGCTCAGTGCGGTGTCAAAGGGGTAATGCTCCTGTTTTTTTGGGGCAAACGCCCAGCCTCTGAGGAGCTGGAAAGAGATTTTCGCCTTATTAATCGGGGATACACCCGTAACAACATGTACCGTATATGCCACCTTTATATCAACAATGTATCTCTTAATCTTCTGTACCATATTATGTAATAAAAAATTTCCCATTGGTAAAAAAAAATATATTAAAAGATGGGGTGGTAGGGGAAGTGGAATATCAAACGGCTTCAGGAAGAAATCCAAATATTCTTCTTGAAGCCTTTTATCCACTTCTCCGAGGGTATTTAGTCCCACAATTTACACCAGAGGTGGACCCCATTATATATATTATATATATAAATTATTATATATATATTATTATAATATATTATAAAAATTATATATATATTTTATATATATAATATATATATATATGGGAGTAGGTTGGTAGACAGCAACCACCCAGGGAAGTACTACCGTCCTGCCAGATGACTGTGAAACAGAAACCTGTAACTGTTTTGCATGATGGTAGGATTTCTGGTTTCTTTTCTGTCTCATAAACACGCTAGATAACAGGGATATCTTGCTACTCCTACTTACACTTTGGTCACACTTCACAGACACGCACATGCATATATATATACATTCATCTAGGTTTTTCTCCTTTTTTCTAAATAGCTCTTGTTCTTCTTTATTTCTTCTATTGTCCATGGGGAAGTGGAAAAGAATCTTTCCTCCGTAAGCCATGCGTGTCGTATGAGGCGACTAAAATGCCGGGAGCAATGGGCTAGTAACCCCTTCTCCTGTAGACATTTTACTAAAAAAGAGAAGAAAAAACTTTATAAAAACTGGATGCTTAAATGTGCGTAGATGTAGTGCGGATGACAAGAAACAGATGATTGCTGATGTTATGAATGAAAAGAAGTTGGATGTCCTGGCCCTAAGCGAAACAAAGCTGAAGGGTAGGAGAGTTTCAGTGGGGGGAAATAAATGGGAATTAAATCTGGAGTATCTGAGAGAGTTAGAGCAAAGGAAGGGGTAGCAGTAATGTTAAATGATCAGTTATGGAAGGAGAAAAGAGAATATAAATGTGTAAATTCAAGAATTATGTGGATTAAAGTAAAGGTTGGATGCGAGAAGAGGGTCATAATAAGCGTGTATGCACCTGGAGAAGAGAGGAATGCAGAGTGAGAGAGAGAGATTTTGGGAGATGTTAAGTGAATGATAGGAGCCTTTGAACCAAGTGAGAGAGTAATTGTGGTAGGGGACCTGAATGCTAAAGTAGGAGAAACTTTTAGAGAGGGTGGAAAGAAAAGTTTGGGGTGCCGGGTGAAATGATAAGGGGAAACCCTTTTTGATTGAACTTTGATAAAAAGGGTTTAGTTATAGGTAAACATATTTTAAGAAAAAGGGGATAAAAAAGTATAAAAGATATGATTTTGGGCGAAATGCGTAGCTTTTTGGGAAAATTTTTTTTTGGTTTAAAAAAGACTGTTGAGTAGACTTCAGGATGTACATGTTTTAGGGGGCCACAGTATTCAGATCACTTTTAGTTGTAGCTCACTGAGAGTAAAAGGTGGGGGATACAAGGAGAATAGAAGCATCGGGGAAGAGAGGGAAAGGGTTTTTAAAAACTAAAAGGGGGGCATTTTAGGGTAAGATATAAACAGCTATTGGAGGATGATGGGGTAATGAAAAAATAGGCAATGGGGCGAAGAGGTATGGGTGGTTTAAAAAATGTAGTTTTAGAGTGTTCAGAAAATTTTGGGGTTAAGGAAAGTGGGTGCAGGGGGGGAAGAGGAGCGTTGGGGGAATGGATGTAAAGAGAGGTGGGGAGAAAAAGTTAGCATATGAAAATTTTTTACAAAGTGAAGTATGCAAGGAGGGAAGGTATATGGAAAAAAAAGGGGGGGTTAAGAGGGGGTAAAGCAATGAAAAAAGAAGCAAATGAGAGAGTGGGTGGATTTATCAACAAATTTTGTTGAAAAAAAAAAAAGTTTGGAGTGGATTTAAAAAGTTAAGAAAGCCTAGAGAAAAAAATGGATTTTTCATTAAAAAGGAGAGGGAGTTATTAATGGAGGTTAGAGGGATTGGGGGATGGAGGGAATATTTTTTAGGAATTTTTAAATTTGGAAAAATGGGGAAGCGTATTTCGTGTATAGGGCAAGGAGGGAAAAACATCTTGTAGGGTGAGGAAGAGCCATTTGATGTGGGGGGAATTCGTGAGGCAGTAGGTAAAAAGAAAGGGGGGGGAAGGAGCCCGGGGTTGATGGGTAAAGATAGAAATTTTGAAAGCGGTGGGGATATGTTTTTGGATGGTTGGTGCAATTATTTAATAAATGTAGGAAAGGGGTTTAAGGGACTAGGGGGTTGGCAGAGAGCATGCATAGTTCCTTTGTAAAAAGGCAAAGGGGATAAAAAGAGAGTGCAAAAATTATAGGGGGATAAGTCTGTTGAGTATCCCCTGGTAAATTTGGTTGGTAGAGTTATAATTGAAAGAATTAAGAGTAAGACGGAGAATAGGATAGCAGATGAACAAGGAGGCTTTAGGAAAGGTAGGGGTGTGTGGACCAGGCGTTTACAGTGAAACATATAAGGGGAACAGTATTTAGATAAGCTAAAGAGGTCTTTGTGGCATTTATGGATTTGGAAAAGGCGTATGACAGGGTGGGGATAGGGGGGGCATGTGGCAGATGTTGCAGTGTTTGGTGTAGGAGGTGGGTTTTGCTGAAAGCAGTGAAGAGTTTTTACGAGGATAGTGAGGCTCAAGTTAGAGTATGTCGGAAAGAGGGATTTTTTCCCAGTAAAAGTAGGCCTTAGAAAAAGGATGTGTTGATGTCACCGTGGTTGTTTAATATATTTATAGATGGGGTTGTAAGAGAAGTAAATGCGAGGGTCTTGGCAAGAGGCGTGGGTTAAAGATAAAAAAATCACACACAAAGTGGGAGTTGTCAAAAGCTGCTTTTTGCGGATGACACTGTGCTCTTGGGGTTTTCTGAAGAAAATTTTGCAGAGATGGGGGAATGAATTTGGTAGGGTGTGCAAAAGAAAAAAATTTAAAAAGGTGAATACGGGAAAGAGTAAGGTTATGAGGATAACAAAAAGATTGGGTTTGATGAAAGATTGAATATCAGATTGGGAGGAGAGAGTATGGAGGAGTGAACGCATTCAGATTTTTGGGGAGGGGACGTGTCAGCGGATGGGTCTATGAAAGATGAGGTAAATCATGGAATTGATGAGGAAAAAGAGTGAGTGGTGCACTTAGGATCTGTGGAGACAAAGAACTTTGTCCTTGGAGGAAAAGAGGGGAATGTATGAGAGTATAGTTTTACCAAACGCTCTTATATGGGTGTGAAGCATGGGTGATGAAATGTTGCAGCGAGGAGAAGGCTGGAGGCAGTGGAGATGTCATGTCTGAGGGCAATGTGTGGGTGTGAATATAATCAGAGAATTCGTAGTTTGGAAGTTAGGAGGAGTGCGGGATTACCAAAACTGTTGTCCAGAGGCTGAGGAGGGGTTTTTGAGGTGGTTCGGACATGTAGAGAGAATGGAGCGAAACAGAATGACTTCAAGAGTGTATCAGTCTGTAGTGGAAGGAAGGCGGGTAGGGGTCGGCCTAGGAAAGGTTGGAGGGAGGGGTAAAGGGGTTTTGTGTGCGAGGGGCTTGGACTTCCAGCAGGCATGCGTGAGCGTGTTTGATAGGAGTGAATGGAGACAAATGGTTTTAATACTTGACGTGCTGTTGGAGTGTGAGCAAAGTAACATTTATGAAGGGGTTCAGGGAAACCGGCAGGCCGGGCTTGAGTCCTGGAGATGGGAAGTACAGTGCCTGCACTCTGAAGGAGGGGTGTTAATGTTGCAGTTTAAAAACTGTAGTGTAAAGCACCCTTCTGGCAAGACAGTGATGGAGTGAATGATGGTAAAAGTTTTTCTTTTTCGGGCCACCCTGCCTTGGTGGGAAACCGGCCAGTGTGATAATATATATATATATATATATATATAATATATATATATATATATAAAATATATATATAATATATATATATATATATATCATACTTCTATCATTGAGGTAAAGGATCCAGGATTATGGGATACGCTTAAACCTTTCTTGGATAAATATGTGGATACCTTTGTGTTGTCATTGAGGAAGGGTGTGTTGTGCTTGTGGAAAATGGGAACTACTTTCTCGGATCTTTGAGGTAAAAGGGGATAGGTATATAGTGGGATACTTTCTTTGGTCAATGAAATAGGAGGAGGCTTGGCTTATGGAGTACGGTATATCTTCTTGGATCATTGAGGTAGACAAGGATGGGCTTATAGTATAAGGGGATTATTTATCGGAGCACTGAGCTGTAGATGACTCGGCTTATGGAAGATGGAGAGGTCTTTCTCGAACCATCTTTCTCACGTGAATGTGCAATAAGCGGCTGTAGTTGTTGTCGATGGGGGATACCTTTCTCGGAGCATTAAGGGAGGAGGAGTATGAGCCTACGAGATGCTGGGATACCATTCTCAGACCACTGAGGTTCAGAAGGCTTAGGGTTACCAGATAGACATAACTATTACTTATCGACTAAAAGGCGTCAAGTTATTATCTTCACTGGTCATTGCTTATTGTTACAGGGTTTAATAATCACCTGGGGAATGTGAGACAATCACA